AGGCAATGAAAGATGGAGGACTCTCAGACGGAGCCGGGGAGCTCAACGACAGCGAAGCCTCAACACTCCCTACCCCATCCAGCATTTTGGGGGGGCAGGAACCATGTGCCCCCTGCTGGCTCCTCTTGGGCCACCATCCGCTGCCCTGGATAGAAATGAACCACAACTCCCAACAGTCCTATGGGCAGCAACCCTCTAACATTGAGGGATCTTGTGTCTCACGGCCTTATGGGAGTTGGAGTCCCTAACATCCTGAGGCTGACAAGTTTTCCGGCCAAGGAATGTGGCAAGCCTGGGTCTCTACGCCTCTGTAAAGCTCCAAATGCATGATCCTCTCTGTCAACCTCCTTCCTTCAGGGATGCTAAACCCTGGGCTCCATCGAAGAAGTAGGAGTCCAGAGGGGCGAATGAATAAGCCCACCCACCTACCCAGAATAGCTGCCAGTGCAGGCAAGCCCCTCACCCTCGCTCACATTCTTGTGTTCACGTGTTGGATGCAGAGTCCACACATCCCAGCGAGCTTTCTATTATGCACCTGTACACAGGGGATCACAGCCAGGGAGCCTAAGGCCAAGGGGCAGGCCTAAGGCCAGGAGACAGGAGGAACAGGGGATCACACAGACATTAAAGGAAATTGGGCCAGAGAAACTGAGGCACAAAAATCCACTGGAAACTACAGGGCATGGGGGGAAGAAAGAGCCTGGGAGAAAGCCCAAAGCCCACAAAATGAGAGACAAGCAAGTAGCCCTGATGGAGAGGGGGTGGGAGCTTCGGACCTAAAGATCCTCAACCCCCAATCACTTCCAACCATGCTCACACGTGCACAACGCATGTGTACACATATGTGTGAGTTTGTGGCAGGGAACATGTGTGTCCTCAGCTCCCTCCCATGAGAAGCTGCAGTTCCCACTAAATATAACCCCCTCCCCAGCCTGTGACTCACCCGGACCCCGCCTCCCCCGGCCCCCACTTCCTGTCCCACCCCCCAGCCCCCAGCTGCCTGCCACCCGCCCAAACCTCCCTCCACACACCAGGCATCCAGCTTTCCAGTCCCAGAGTCTGGAAGCAAAGACTAGGTATTCTGCATCCACCAGGAGCTTGCTAGGGCTCCCCATCCAAGATCTCCTGCCTTTTCCAGGCTCCAACCACAGGGACAACCTTGCACAGATTCCCACACCCTCACATCCCCACCACTGCCAGCCCTGCCCTCCTACGCCTTTTCACCCCAGTAACCTCGGTCATAAGTCCTCAGGGACCCTTTAAATCCAGGTGTCCTTCCCCACCTTGATGCCAAGTGTCAGGGGTAACTGAACAGTCCCCTCCATCTGCTTTTCTCCCACTTTCTTGACCAGGGCTAGATGCAGTGTGGGAAGAGATGGGGACATTGGACACCTGCCTGGGCCATCCCCAAATTTTGTACCACCCACCTGGTCCCCCCTCCTCAAATCCCCTTTCTCCCAAAATCTCTCATCCTCCTCAGGAGCTGGCAACCTCAGCTGCTGCAACCTTCTACCTCCCATGGGAGTACCCCAAATCCTAACCTCACCTGGTCTATTCCCTCAGGTGAGCCCGAGTCAGGCCCCAGCCCTCTGACAACTCCCAACTATCTCCATTCCAATTGATCAACCCCAAATTAACAGTTCCCTCGAATGGGGAAAGCACCCCCAAATGTATCTACCAGGAGATTCTTGTTCTATAGTCTGAAGGCCCACCCCTTCCCTGCCAGCTGACACCCCCAGACCAGTCAGGCACTCACAACCATAACCTTTATCCAATTTCAGGAGCCCCCCAAGACTGGACAAGGCACCTGGAAGCCAGCTTTTTTCTGGGGAGGGAATAGGACCCCCACGTAGCCCACCTTACCACATACACCAGCAAGACTCCCATGTGAGCCAGGCTTCTCCTTAAATAAGTCTCCCTCAAACAGCACTGGTGAATCCCCAAACCCACCAGGCCCCCAAAACATGGAACACCCCAATTTTTCCATTTCTCTTACAGGTACAAAGGGATCACTCTAGGGGGCACCTGTGGCCAAATCCAGCATTTTCTCAGATGTGAACCCCAAAACTAAATTATGACCCCCAAATACATCTTACTTCTGATGCTCTCACTCCAGGGCCCCCAGTCCCAGATAAAGCTTGCTAACCCCTCCCCTCAAACTCATACCCTCCCCCCAGTTTCTAGGCCCCCCCATCATGCTTACCTTGGTTGTCACTATACAGAGACAGTCCATGTTGGGGGGCCTGGCCGCGGCGGCGGGTAAGGGGCTCTGACTTCATCGGAGTTTCGTTCCTCCCCTCCGTCGGTTCTCACCCCTCCCCCCTCCGCACCCCACTTTTGCAGGGGGGGCCAGGATGGGGGGAGGGGTGAGAGGGGAAGGAGGGGGTTGGAGAAGGGAAGGGTAGGGGAGCGTGGGAGGGAGGGGAAGGGGGCCCTAAAAGGGGCTCCCCAGTAGAGGGGAGGGGGCTTGGGGAGCACACCCCGATTCTCAGGAGGGGCGGGGGCACCGGGGGCTGGCAGCCCCGGAGTTCGGGGGCTGGGGCATGAGCTGGGGTGGGGGAGGGGAACTGGATTTCGGGGAGCCCCGGGGTAGGGGGGGGTCTTGCCAAACGGCCAGGGGCTAGGGGCCGTGGCGGGGGAGTGGGGTGGGGGGGTTGGAAACGGCAGCGGCCGAGGGAGCCGTGGAGCCGAGGAGGGAAGGGGAGAGAGGAGGAGAGAGGAAGCAGGGGGAGGGAGGGAGGGAGCTAGGAGCCAGAATGGGGGGGTGCCTTGGCAGAGTTAACTCCTTCAGTGCTGGCAGGAACCCGGATAATGGGAAAGCAGATAGAAGACGAAGCAGAGAGGCCCTGAAGCAAACATGGAGATCTGGCCAGCCACCAGCGATGACAGCAAAGACAATGAGGCTGGATTTCATTTCTTAGAGGACGAAGCACCCATAGTTGGGCTGGGAGCACCCATGGTTGTTCAAATACTGGAGGGAGGCCATGGTAGAGGGTAGGGTATGAGGGAGGGGCTAGCAGGAGAGCGTCCCTGGGGGCCTAGTTCTCTCTCTGGAGTCACAGGAGGAAGCCTGAAAGGTAATTATGCCCTGGACTCTTTAGTGCCTGAAATTGGGGCAGTCAGGATGGAAGAGAGTACATTCTCAGTGGTCCCAAGCCCCTGGGCCACTGACTCAGGATTTTGTCACCAGGGCCCCCAATTCTCAGTTTAATATTAGCAATACTTTGCACACCCCTGCAGCCCTGCCTGCTCCTTCAGAAAGTCTAGACTCATCCCCACCTCCTTACCTGACTCTCTGAGATGGAAGCTTCATAATAGTCCAGGATGTCTGTCACAGGAAGAGAACTGAGTTATCCTCCCCCACCCCAGGCCTCTCCTGTCAGGTCACCCCTGCCTGACAGCACCCCTGCTGCTGTCTGTCTGGTAAGGGAGGAGCTCCTCTAGCCAAGGCTGGGCCACACTAATACTACTGACCGACACCATGGGGATGACCCTGCATGGGGATCCAGCTTGGACCAAATGATCTCCAGGCTCCCAACCAGCTCTGAGAAGTTCAGGAATTGCCCTCACGGGCCCAGGCCAGCCCTTTCCACCACTGTCCCCCAGAAAACTGGGGCTACTCACCCAGCAAGGCCTGGAAGAGGTCACTGTGCAGCACCGTGAGGAGGGCGGGTGCCCACCGCAATAGTGGGGGGGCCAGGAGCCAGAGGGCTGACCTGGGAGCTGGTGAATTGCAAGTGACAGAGGATTGGGACAAGGAAGAAACAAACATACTGTCACCTCATTTACCCCAGCCTTTTCCCTTTCACCCCAGACCCTGTGGAAAGATTAAGGAAGACAGATCCCTGAATCGCAGCCCCCTACTTTGCTCTCAGGCCTCCCCTCCACAAGGACCCTTGTTTTTCACCTCTTGGTCTCTGGGACATCTCTCTCTTCTCTCACTTTAATCTCCCTAATCCACTGGGATTGGATTTGAGCTGCCTTCTCCCCACCCAATTCTAGCTGTTAATAAAGTAGGCAGTCTCCGAACTGACCAGCTGTTCCATTCTTCCCCAGGTTCCTAGGCACCACCACCACCTTGGCCCCCTCTCCCTAAAGCCAGGCATAACTTAACCACATCTTCCTGAACCAGGAAAGAGTGTCTCCCACAACTCAAAAAGATAGGAAGCTGAGCCCAACTTTTTCTCCTCCTGGCTCTGATCCTAGTGGGAACTGCACAGAGAGAGGTATTAATTGCTTGGGACCTCTTGACTTAGGACTAGAGAAGTGTGTGTAGGAGGGGCACATGAGAATTCCTATAGTTTCTCTCAGGCCTGAGAAGAATCCTTCTGCCCAAAGGTGTAGCCTGGGCACATGGTCTCTGGAAGGAACAGAGAATACAGAGAGAAAGATGTTAAGGGAGGTCTCAGGGGCTTTAAGAGAGAGGCAATGAACTAGGAGGTTCCTTCCTACTGTGAAATTTGAGGTGTTCCAGGAGTTAGTGACACCTCCTCAATCTCAAGAGAACACACTTGGGACATTCACACTCCAGCTTGAATCCCTACCACCACCATACCCTCCCTTTTGTGTTAGTGGAGACAGATTTCATGAGGAACCCAAAAGAGTAGTCTTTTCATGCCTCTACATCTGGTATCTCTATTTTACACTTCTCTCTTCCCACTTCTCCCTTCTAACTCCACCTGGGAAGTCCTCCATTCAGTCTACCTCCATCCCTCTGGCTGCAGTAGCCTACACTCCTCCCTCTTCTGTCCCATCCTATCCCACCACCCCTTCAAAGGACAAGACTCTAGTTTGGACAGGCGGGATGAAGGAGTTTGAGGGAGACAAGGGACGCTTGGTAATCACTCTAGGTCAGCCAGAATGCAAGGGCCGGGAGCCCTAGAACTACAGCTCCCAGCATACCCCGCCGCCCGGAAGCCCCGCCCCCGTCGCCCGGTGCATTGTGGAAGATGAGTCAGGGATAGGGGTACTGAGTCTTGAGCAGGAGGGACACGAGAGCTAGGTCTACGCCCTCGGCAGCGGCAGCCCAGCCGGAGATCTCGGAGATGCAGGCGGTTCGGATGGCTCCGGGCGCGGGGCGGCAGCTGCTGAGGCTGGGGGGCGGAAGGTCCGTGTATGACATGAGGGACGGGGAGCAGCGGGTCTCGGTAGCTGGCCAAGACTGAACCCCTACTCCCTACAGCTCGCGGCCCGGTGCGCTCCTGGGACAGCCCCGGCTTTGCCTTGCCCGGCGACCCTATGCCAGTGCGGCCGCCCAGGTAAGTGACAGTGGGCTTAGTAGAGGGTGTCCGAACTGGGGCCGCTTCGACTCCCACCTCCCCGCTGCCGGCAGGGGTCCCTCTTCGTGCGAGTCACCTGCCGACAGCTCTGGCGCCGAAAGTAGGGGAAAGGGCAAGCCAGGGTGCCCCGGGGTGAAACTGGGTGAAAGGTAACCGACCCGCCCAGTCCCTGCCCTGTGCTCTCCTTGGCACACCGGAAGCCGCTTCATCTGTCTTGATAACCACCCCTTTCTCCAGGCAGTTCGGGACAAGTCAGACACCCTGTCTTCTGAAGCTTCGACCAGGGAAAAACGGGCTAAGGCGGTATGTAGTCCCAAGGTCGCTGGGTAGACCTAGGCCAGGGCAGACCCACCTGAGCCAGCTCCCTTCAGCTCCCTTCTCCCTGCCCAGGAATCTAAGTCCTTTGCTGTGGGGATGTTCAAGGGCCAGCTCATCACGGATCAGGTGTTCCCATTCCCGTCTGGTAAGGAAAAGATTGTCAGAGCTGGGGAGGGACAGGACGGTTTTCCCTGATAGCCTCGCCTGACCGGCCTGGTCCCCCATATTGCAGTGCTCAACGAGGAGCAGACACAATTTCTCAAAGAGCTAGTTGGGCCCGTGTCCCGTTTCTTCGAGGTGAGGAATGAATGGGGCTTGGTCCCTGATGGGGTGGGTGGAGATATTAAGGAGCTTAAATGGAGTCTGGCTGTGGCATCCATGTGCCTTCCCCAGGAGGTGAATGATCCTGCTAAGAATGACACTCTGGAGATGGTAGAAGAAACCACTTTGCAGGGCCTCAAGGAGCTGGGGGCCTTTGGTCTGCAAGTGCCCAGTGAGCTGGGCGGTGTAGGCCTCTGCAACACCCAGGTGAGGGGAGCCCTCTCTCCACTTCTTGTCATCCCCATACTCCAGCTTGGCAGATTCATCTCTTTCTTCATCCCTAGGGTTAAGGTCTCTTCCAAGCACCTGCCCTGGGGGCCTGTGAAACATACACACTCACCCCTCTAACCATAACACCATCTACATGCACCTCCTTCTGGTTCCCAAGTACTTCTAAATCTCAAGTTGGGGAATGCCTGACAAGAGGATAGTAGGAAGTCTCTCTCCTACCAGACTTTCGTGGTCTGGCTTCCTTCTCTCCACACTCATTCTGTGAGGATGGCCCACATCATGCCCTACCCTGTTGCCCATACTTTCCTGCTAAGGGCAGGTCCCATGAAGCTACTTACAGCCCCAGATGCCTGCTTCCCCTCCAGTATACCCGCTTGGTGGAGATTGTGGGCATGCACGACCTTGGCGTGGGCATTACCCTGGGGGCCCATCAGAGCATCGGTTTCAAAGGCATCCTGCTCTTTGGCACGAAGGCCCAGAAAGAAAAGTACCTCCCCAAACTGGCATCTGGTGAGACAACTCTAGGAGACCCAGGGATTGGGGGTGTCTTGGGCTTGGTACTGATTAGGCCAGTTGGCACTTAGATCACTGCATAGCTGGGCATTTTAGTTGGGGGAGGCTATAAACTGGATGTTGCCAGAGGTGTTAAGGGGGAACTGCCTGGGGAGATGAGGAAGCCAGCTGAGGGAACGCTGGTGCCCAACAGAACTCATGGTAAAGGAGACCTGTCTCCCACAGGGGAAACTTTGGCCGCTTTCTGTCTAACCGAGCCCTCAAGTGGGTCAGATGCAGCCTCCATCCGAACCTCCGCTGTGCCCAGCCCCTGTGGAAAATATTACACCCTCAATGGAACTAAAATTTGGATCAGGCAATCTTCTTCCCATTTCTCCCTTTTCCCCTCTGCCCAGTCCCGTGCCCCACTGCTCTGGGTCCTCCATGTCCTGACTGCCCTCTCATTCTTCCACAGTAATGGGGGCCTGGCAGACATCTTCACAGTCTTTGCCAAGACTCCAGTTACAGATGCAGCCACAGGGACCGTGAAGGAGAAGATCACAGCTTTTGTGGTGGAGAAGAGCTTTGGGGGTGTTACCCAGTGAGTGGGTTTGGGGAGGAAGGACCAAGGAGGCAGTCCTGTGCTCAGGACAGGTGGTTGCTACAGGTCACCTTGGGGGTGTGTACAAAAGCCAAAGCAGGTAGACAGCATGTGCCCTTTGGGATTAACATGTATAGAACTGATCTAAAGTATTAGCTCTAGCAACCAAGTCCAACGTGTGGTAGCAGGACATAGCCAGCCTCCTTAGTCCTCAGGGCATTCAGGAAGTGTTCCCAGAATACCAGCAGCAATCTGTTAAACACACCTCTGCTTTCCTATCCTGTCCTGTCACAGTGGGCCCCCTGAGAAAAAGATGGGCATCAAGGCCTCCAACACAGCAAGTGTGTTCTTTGATGGAGTACGGGTGCCAGCAGAGAATGTGCTGGGTGAAGTGGGGGGCGGCTTCAAGGTTGCCATGCATATCCTCAACAATGGAAGGTTTGGTATGGCTGCAGCTCTTGGAGGCACCATGAGAAGCATCATTGCCAAGGCGGTGAGTACCCTGCCTATGTCACTAGCTAGCCTGAGTAAAATTACTAACCTCCTTTCCATGTGTTCCTATTCCCATGCAGGCATTCCCCAAAGCAGACCTTGCCCCCTAGCAGCTCCAGACTTGCTATGTTATTTCTCCATCCACCTTGGACCCATCCCCAGCCACTCTCAGGGAAACTGCAGAAACAGTGAACCATAATGGGATGCATGTACTCTCTTCCAGGTGGATCATGCTGCGAATCGTACCCAGTTTGGGGAAAAAATTCACAACTTTGGGCTGATCCAGGAGAAGCTGGCCCGGATGGCTACGCTGCAGTATGTGACTGAGGTGAGGGCCCCTTTCCCTGGAGCCCCTGAGGCTTTCTTCCCAGTCGGTCAGACTACAACCCCCAGCAGCACCTGGGGCAGTGGGTCTCCAGCTTTACACCAATGCCCTAGGGGATGCGGGGAGGCATAGCCAGCTCAGCTTCTGCAGAAGGACGAGAACAATACTGTTCTGCTGAGGTGCTTCCCAGAGGTGCCAGAAGTTAACTCTACCCCCACCCCACCCCTTTCAAGAAGTCAAGTGCCTGGAAGCACCAATGAACTGATTCAGGGGACCAAATGTTTAGATGTGCCTGACCTGACCACAGAGTTAAAGGTGAATGGAAGGGCCTGGGGAGCTAGGCCAGACCTGGTCTGAGAGATTTGGTGATCAGGTTGAGTCTGATGCAGCCCTTTTCAACTTTCCTTTCCATGTCCCAACCATGCAACTTCAGTCCATGGCTTACATGGTGAGTGCCAACATGGACCAGGGCTCCACAGACTTCCAGATAGAAGCCGCCATCAGCAAAATCTTTGCCTCGGTGAGGCCCCAGGCATGCTGGGAGGGAATGTCCAGTTTGGGAGATCAGCCTGGTTCTCATCTGGTTCTTTGTCCCTAGGAAGCAGCCTGGAAGGTGACAGATGAGTGCATCCAAATCATGGGGGGCATGGGCTTCATGAAGGTACAAGGTGGTCCTTTTTGCATGATCCTCAGTTGGGCTGGGAATGAGTAGGCACATCTCAGCAGGAGCTTACGATCTGTCTTCCCCGGTGGTAGGAGACTGGGGTAGAGCGTGTGCTCCGAGATATTCGCATCTTCCGCATCTTTGAAGGGACAAACGACATTCTCCGGTTGTTTGTGGCTCTGCAGGGCTGCATGGTAAGAGAGGAGAACAGGGGGGAAGAGGTGGGGAGGACAGTGAGTCCTGACTGTTGGACCCTCCTCCCTCAAAGGACAAAGGAAAGGAGCTCTCTGGGCTTGGCAGTGCTCTTAAGAATCCTTTCGGGAATGCTGGCCTCCTGCTAGGAGAGGCTGGCAAACAGCTGAGGAGGTAGGCTTAGGGGTGGGGCGGGGCGGGGCAGGGCAGGGCAGGGCGATGTATGCCAACTGACCAGTCGTTCTCCCCCTTCTTCTAAGACGGGCAGGACTGGGGAGTGGCCTGAGTCTCAGTGGAATCGTCCACCCAGAGTTGAGCCGGAGTGGAGAGCTGGTGAGTAGTCAAGGTGGGGGTGAGGCTGTGCCCAGAGCTGCTGGTGCAGCCCTTCTGAGCCCTGCACACCTTCCCCATCTTCTCAGGCAGTACAGGCTCTGGAGCAGTTTGCCACTGTGGTGGAGGCCAAGCTGATAAAACACAGGAAGGGGATTGTCAGTGAGTGAGCTCGGCCCATTCCCACCCCCCTCCCTTTTCTCTCCCTCAAATTAATGCCCCCCACCCCTCTCCCATCTACCTGACAGATGAACAGTTCCTGCTGCAGCGTCTGGCAGATGGGGCCATTGACCTCTATGCCATGGTGGTGGTTCTCTCCAGGTGAGGCAGCAGTGAGGGAGACGTGTGCCACAGGAGGGGATGGGCCAGGTCACAGCCCAGATTCATTTTCTCCTCCTGCTTCCCACCAGGGCCTCAAGATCCCTGAGTGAGGGCCACCCCACAGCCCAGCATGAGAAAATGCTCTGTGACACCTGGTGTACTGAGGTGAGACTCGGACTGCCAAGCGTAGGTGGGGTCTCAAGGCACAAGCCTGAACCCCTCCTTCCCTCTTTCCTCAGGCTGCAGCCCGGATCCGGGAGAACATGGCAGCTCTGCAGTCTGACCCCCAGCAACAGGAGCTATTCCGGAACTTCAAAAGCATCTCCACAGCCTTGGTGGAGCGAAGTGGCATGGTCACCAGCAACCCGCTCGGCTTCTAAGTACTCCCAGCCAGGCCCTGGCGTGTTATGTGCCTTTTCTTAAGCCAAAACCAAGGCCCCTTTCCCTAGGGGCCCTGGTTTGCCCTCAAGGGCCTGCTGCTCCCAGAACTGTGCCTGCTCTCAGGAGCACTTACTGCCTCACAAATTATAAGTTTCTAACAAGTCATGCTTTGCTGCTGTCTCAGTTCTTTCCCTCAGCTGCCTGCTTCCCTCCCAAAGAAAGGAGCCAGAGGCGTGGGGAGTTTGCCTCTATTGCTTTATTTGGTGTTTTATACAAGTGACTAAAATAAATAAAGTAACAAAGGCAGCTACGTGGCCCCAAATGCCAAATACCCCAGCTTTCTTGGACTGCTGTCTAGGGTGACCAACCCACTTCCTCCCAGGGTACCACTGACCACCTCCCACACTGTGCAGCAAGGCAGAGCCGACTGGGCAACTAGAGGAGGAGGTCACATTCTGGGTTTAGAAAAGGGGTCCCAGGAGATGGGGATTCTTCATATAAAAGAGGAAATGTCTATTAAAAAAATAGTCCCCAAAATGTAAAAAAGTCTATTTTAACCCCCAAAAAGGCTTATAAAAAACAGTAAAGCTAAAAGTAACCAAAGGTCCCTTGTCTACCCCTAAGAGAAGGGGGAGGAACCAGGCACTGCTGGTGAGAGTCACAGTGGCAACAACTCCACAGCAGCTGGCAGGCTGAGCCCAGGCACTGCGAGGAGTAAGGAACATGTGATTGACAAGACACCTAATCACAAAACAGGAGCACCAAGCCGAGACTGGATGGGCCCAGGGTGGAAACCCAACAAGGCCCCACAGTGGGCTCTACATAACATCCACAAAGAACTCACTGGGGTTGCCCATGGCCATGTGGAAGCTTTGGCGGCTGGCTGTCAGTTCTGGGGGCACAGAGCCCAGGTCTCTGACTGGAGGGGCCCCCGGGGGCTGCACTGCTGGGGGTACAGGGGGTGGGGGTGGCGGCATCATGACCACCATCATGGGGTTATAGGGGAGGGCCATGCCAGGGGGTGGTCCATAGGGATGGAGCCCTGGGTGGGCTCGGAGATTGGGAGCACCCCCACTTGAGCCTCTGGAGGGGAGAGGACCCCCATCACCAGTCCCACCAGGTTCCCCACCCCATCGGATGCTGCCCCCTCTGCTGGAGGGCTCGGACTCACTGCCACTGCCGGACTTGGACTCAGGGGCCCGCTCCTCGGGCCTCCCTGTGCGTCCTGCCCCCCCATCACTTCGTGTCGACTCACTGCTCCGGCTGCCTGTGGGGGGGAGTGGGGATGGGGCAACTGAGCCCTAGCCCAGCTGCGCTGGCTTCCCACGCCCCAGCCTTTCCCCCTGGTTCCGCTCTGCTCCGCCCTCAGACCCTGGCTGTATCAGTATCTGGGGTGACTTACCCTCACTGTGCTGGCTGCTGGCACTGCCCCCACCATAGGTGTACGATGAAAGCTCATGGTAGGGTGGGGGCTGGGGGCTGTAGGGGTGCGGGGCTGGGTATTGGTAGGAGAAGGTGGGCAGAAGGGGCCAGGGGGTGGCCCCAGGCAGAGGAGCCAGGGTGTCCTGGTCTGAAGCCCCACTGGAGCCATCGTTGTCATTCAGAGACAGGTTGACTAGGTCTGGAAAGCAGGGGAAGAGAATAAGAAATCACTGCTTCAAGAGGCCATGGCCAGCCAGGTGCAGTGGCTCATGCCTGTAATCCTAGCACTCTGGGAGGCCAAGGTGGGCGGACTGCTCAAGGTCAGGAGTTCGAAACCAGCCTGAGCAAGAGTGAGACCCCGTCTCTACTATAAATAGAAATAAATTAATTGGCCAACTAATATATATACAAAAAATGAGCCGGGCATGGTGGCACATGCCTGTAGTCCCAGCTACTCGGGAAGCTGAGGCAGGAGGATTGCTTGAGCCCAGGAGTTTGAGGTTGCTGTGAGCTAGGCTGATGCCACGGCACTCACTCTAGCCTGGACAACAAAGCAAGACTGTCTCAAAAAAAAAAAAAGAGGCCATGGCCTCGAATACTGAATGGAGGGGAACTGGGACCAGACAAACCCATGATGGGGGTTAAAATGGGGGTCACAAGGGGCTCTGACAGGAAATTCCCCACCTACTGCTGCCATCGGGGCAGGGGCACAGCCAGGGCCACCACTAGCCCATATGCTCTTGTGGGTCTCAGGAAGAGGGACCTTCCTCGACAGCAGACAGAGCCCTACACGTGGTATAGGACTTGTCCAGTGGCACGTGGGAGGACGTCAAATCCCACCTGGGCCAGTGTAGGACCTAATACAGGACATGTACTGCTCAACCTGTCCTCAGTGGCCCTGGCTGGGTTTCCAGGCAAGGTCTGGGGTTGGAGAGGGAGAACAAGGCAAGCAGAGCTGAACTTCCAGGGTTGGGCCAGGGGCACTCACAACTCTCACAGCCACCGCTGAGGTCCCCGAAGACATAATAGCACTGCTCAGAGAAGGTGATCTTGTTTACGGTATGTCGGATCAGGCCTGCCTTGAGCAGCCCGCTGGCATACTTGCGAGCCTCCCGCCGCTCAGGAAAGCCCTCCACGTGATGGTAGAGCCAGTCAACCACATCAGAGCCTGGGAGCAGCCAGAGGAAAGAGGCCTCAGGGTCTCCTCCCAACTTGCCCTCACCCCTGGCTGTGCTATTCCCAGCTTTGGTCACCTCCTCCTCTCCTCCCCATGCCACCTGCCCAGGGCCCAGCTGTACCCAGAAAGGCATTAGGGATGGTGATCTTGAGCCACATGCGGTCCCGGACTTCCAGCCCCGACTCTGGAGCTGCCATCGCCTTGGTCACAGATGCCATATCTGTATGGATGGAGAGGCCCCGGCCCTCACAGCCTGGTGGAGGAGACAATGAGTTATCAGGGGTAGGACCCCCTTACACAGGAGTGGCGGGTCAGGCCACCACCGGTCAGCCTTTTGGAGGGCTGTGCTAGGGGCTTACCATCAGGCAAAGAAGATCCAGAAGTGATGGTGCTCATGGACGAGGAGCCTGGATAGGCTGGGAAGGTACCAGTCAGTGCAGCGGAGTGTGACACCCAGGCAGCAGGGTCAATTGGCTGGATGGGCTCATCTGGGACAAAGAAGGCCACCAAGATGACCACTTCTCAGTCCCAAAAAACCAGCCCTGTCCCACCCTGACTCAGACTCTGATGCCTGCCTCTACCTGGCCCCTCCTCCACCAGCCCCAGCCTCAGGCACCTCCTTGAGCATCACTCACTTCGGGGGAGGGTGAAATAGGCCTGGGGGGAGGGATCCCAGCACTTGGCCACAGTCAGCACGATGGGGCTGTGGGGAAGAGGAGGCCAGTCAGGGGGTGGTGCGGGAGGAGGCCTCAGGAGGGCAGAGGCCTGGAACAAGAATGAACTGAGAGACAGAAAGAGGGCAACAAGAAAAGAGCATATACATGGCTGGGCCAGAGGTGAGGGTGGGAAGGCTCCACAATGTGGATGACTCACCATCAAGAATAACTCTTAAAAACACACTGCTGAGTGAAACAAAGGAGTACACGCTGCACAATTCTACTCACAGAAAGTTCAAAAACAGGTGAAACTAAACTGTATTGTTTAAGGATGGTAAACTATGGGTGGTAAACTATCAAGTGAAGTGAACATTTGCCACAGTGATGTCCAAAGAAGCCAGGAGAGTGACTAACCCTACGGGGAGTGCGATGGGTGGCAACAGGAAGGGACAGTGCAGGTAGAGCTATTTCACGATCTAGGTGGTGGTAACGTGGGTATTCACTCTAAGATCATTCACTACATTATGTGTTTTCATTTCATGTATTGAGTGTTATGTCTCACCACTTATTAAAACTACAAAACAACAGGTAAAAGAGAAAAAAACAACAGGACTGAGGACCTGAGACCAACTCCGAGACTCACCCCGGCTTGTGCACAATGTCCCTCAGCACCCGTACAGCATCATCATTGCTCATGTTCTCAAAATTCATGTCATTCACCTAGACGTCGGGGGAGGTTGGTCAGAGGCAGGGTGGGATGGCTACAGAGAGCCCCTGCCCACTGGTCCTGCCCCAGCACACCTGCAAAAGCATGTCCCCTGGCTCTATGCGCCCATCGGCTGCCACAGCCCCACCCTTCATGATGGAGCCGATGTAGATGCCTCCGTCTCCCCGCTCATTGCTTTGGCCCACAATGGAGATGCCCAGGAAGTTATACTTCTCTGTGGAGACAGTTCATGTGAGGAGGGGAAGCCCCAGCTGAGGGACCATAGAGAACCCTGGAGACCAGGTCCTCCCCATTCCCCCAGCCTCAGGCTCCCTCCATACCCATGTTGAGCGTGACTGTGATGATGTTGAGAGACATGGTGGAATCCGTGACGCTGCTGAAGGATGAGCTCTGCGGTGGGAAAAGGGGAAGGAGCTGCAGTGCCCTTTAAGAACCCAGGATAAGCCTTGGGCTCTGTCTGTGTCCTAGGACTGTCTAAACTGAGGTCCATGCCCTCACCTTCTTCAAATCCCAGTCGCCCAAGGGGATCCCCCTCACCCTCTCCATGCGGGGTGGCCGCTGTTTCCTCCGTCGCCGGTGGCGCTTAAGGAGGCGGGAGGCACTGCTCTGCTCTGTGGAACTGCTGAACCTGTCAGGAGGTGGGAAGGGGAGCACTTACAGGCTGAGGTGGGCGTGGGGCCAAGAGAAAGAACAGACAGTATTGACTGGAAGGAGGGAGGACAGGGAGCTGGAAGCCCTGGGGAGATGAGTAGAGCCATACCTGCTCATGGTATCGTCCTCGTCCGAGTCCCCCAGGCTCGTACTCTCCAGCTCACTGGTCATAAGAGTAGAGGAACTCTCGTACCCAGCCAGGTGGCGCTCCAGTCTTGAGGGGCCAGCAGGCCTGTGGCCCCCAGCTGCATATGAACATGAAGCTTGGGAACCAGGCCTCCCACTCCTCACTCCCACCAAGCCCAGGGTCTGGCCCAGCCCTCCCTGGCCCCCAGGCTACCAGCCTCCAGGGCCTGCCCCTCACCGCCATGCTCACTGCTGTCTCTCCTGCGCGGCCGCTCTCGCCTCAGTGAAACTACTGACTCGGTTTCCGTCTCAGGCTCCAGATTTTCATGGCTGCTGGACATATTAGGGCTAGATGGGCAGAAATGATTTCCAACCCATGTCAGGAGAACAGGGCTCCAAATCCTCA